AAACAGATAAATTCCTAGAAACATAAAACCTACCAAGAGTGAGTTATGAAGAAATTGGAAATCTGAACAGAAAGATTACTAGTAAGGAGATTGAATCAATAATCAAAAGTCTCAAGAAAAGTCCAGGACAAGATGTCTTCACTGGTGAATTCTACCAAACTCTTGCAAAAAATAGAGGAGGAAGGAACACTTCCAAACTTACTTTACGAGTCCAAAATTACCCAATACCAGATAAGACTCATGATCTCAGGTACCCAAGCTGATCATTGGAAGACTTGGTTTCAAAGAATAATGCAAGAAGATTGATGAAGTAGACTTTGCAAACATTCAGTTATCATTCTTGGTATTGCTTTTCCTTTACTCATGATGGATAGCCATTTATAGAAGATGCTGGGAGTCAGAGGAAATCACTGCTACACAACCAGAGGAATTATTGGGGGTATGTAACTAACTGAGATGAAATTGAGGCTCTAACCATAAAGGAACCAACAGCCACCACCTCAGTAAAATATATTAAACCCAGACATCTTTGGGCCCTTGGGCCTGTTATAGTCTTGAACATTTTTAAGTAGAAATATTCTGACTTAAAATAAAGAGCCTGATCCCCACTTGGTTTTAGCCAGCACCCCTAAGTCCCCACACACCACACCTTTGCTTGCTCTTCCTGTGGGGGCATTCGTCCACCTGTGTCTCAGTTCTCCAGTCACAGCTGAGCTGGGCCGTGGGGTTGCGGAGGAGGGCGCAGGATCTCTCCATGGCTTTGGGCGAGCCAGCGAACCTGTCTGGAACTCAGTTTCTTCTCATTTAAAATGGGACGTGTCATCCTGCTCTCCTTTCCCCACCCGACTGTTTAGAGGCTTCAAGGGGGACAGGTGAGTCCCTAGTGGGAGAAGTGCTGGGAGGCATCTTCAAGAATTTGTCCATTTGTGAATATTTTTGTTTCTTATATTTTTGCGTCCCAATCTAACCTGATAACTTCGAAGATTTGAATAAACACTCAAAAATAATTCCTTGCAGTTTTGATTTATCTACTCAATCCTAAACCCAGAGAGCCAAAAGAAAGCAAGATAATGAAGTCACCTTCCTTCCAGAAAATAACCTAACGGACACGTGAATGGCTTCTATATGACTGAGCTATCTATAGAATTGTATATGGTAATTATGATCTGAAAAAAAGTGGAAGCCCTGTCTTAGCTTGGAAGCTTATACCCTTGAGGTGGAGAGTAATCCATAAACTGCAGTACAGGTTCCATTTCTGCAGATTTGACTAACCCAGATGGCAAATATTTGAAGACAAAAAAAGTTATTTTGTTGCAGACACATACTGTATAGTTAGGCCTACAGTGGTTGCATCTGTACAAAACATGTACATACTTTTTTCCTTTTCATTATTTCCTAAACGACATAACTATTTACATAGCATTTACATTTTGTCAGGTAGTAATTAATCTAGAGAGGATTTAAAATACATAGAAGGATATGCCTAGGTTATATGCAAATACTATGCCATTTTATATAAGAGACTTGAGCATCAGATTGTGGTATCCTTGGAGGTCCTGGAACTAGTCCACCATGGATACCAAGAAATGACTATTATTTGGATAATATAATCTCTCTAACCGACCCCAAAAGGAACTGGAGCCCTGGTCCCACCCTTTCTCAAGGCCAGTTAAGGGCACCTATCGGCACTTGGCTTGGTAGCAAAACTATCAAGAAACATTACACCTTCTAATGAAATAGGCACCTAGATGCTAGAGATCTACATAGCTGAGAGGAAAAGCCTTTCAATATTCTTTTATGAAGATTTGTACTGGTACTGGGATTTCTGAATGTCAAGAACAACAAAATTTTAAGTAGTTCATGTTGTCATAACACTTTTTAAATCCACTCAGAACGTTCCAAATAAGTGAATTTCTTTTAATGATTTGCTTGAATATTTGTGCAATAATTTCTCTTTGTGGGTGTGACTTCCCTATGTCTCTCCCTTCCAGCTCCTTATGTCAGTATCATGATTTTATAACAGGAACAAATGGAAGCTAACTCCTGCTACGTAACCAAAGCTCTGAAAGGCCCTGGCAGAAGTAGACATAAGTTTCTCTCAGATGTCAGGGTTCTTACGTGTTAGCCTTGTCTCTGCCCTAATTAAATTCAAAGTGAAGCTACTTCCCTCTCATGGGACAGCTGCTTCCTAGCTGACAGAAGTCTTCTCCCTTCAGGGTAGAGGGTGAAGGGAGTTGGGTCTTGACCTTTCACCATGCCTCAAGGAGAACTAGGATAAAATAACATCTGTTGTTTAGTTTATGAAATGCATACCATTATCTGAAAAGTTATATGTTTAGAAAAAATCTGTTAAAATACTTTCAAGTTATAGAATCATTACGGTCTTGAGCATGGCTTTAGTTATGTACTTAGTTATATTGTATTCAAGGATTTTATATTTATTACTCACTGCAAATTTAATTATAGCAATTAACAATAAGAACTGTAACAGTGAACACTTAGGTATATAATAAAAGCTTATTAATAATCCAACAGTAACTGATGTAAAATGTCTTAACACAAATATCTGAATTAAGTATTTTTAAATAATTTTATAAATTGATTTATCTAATTCAATTTATTGGGGGAACATTGGTCAATAACATAAATAACTATATATTTTATATAATATATATTATTTCAGGTATAAAATTCTACAATACATCTGTACATTGCATTGTATGCTCACCACCCAGAGACCAATCTCCTTCCATGACCATAATTTGACCTCCTTTACTCTCTTTATTTTCCACCCAACTCTAGTCCCCTCTGGTAACCACCATACTGTTATCTATGAACTTTGTTTGTTCACTTACTGCCTTCTGTTTTATATCCCACATAAATGAAATCATATGGTTCTTTGTCCTTTTTCATTCCCTTAGCATAATACTCTCAAGATCCATTCATGTTGTTGCTAATGACAATATTTCATCTTTCAAAAACCAATGGAATAGAATCGAGAGCCCAGAAATAAACCCACACATATATGGGAAATTACTTTTGGCAAAGGAGCCAAAAACATGCATTGGAGAAAGGAAAGCCTCTTCAATAAATGGTGTTGGGAAAATGGGAATGTAACTAGACTGTTCTGTGATACCATACACAAAATTAACTCAAAATGGATTAAAGACTTTAATATAAGACATAAAACAGTAAGATTTAATACATAAAATAGAAAATGTAGGCACTGAACTTGTAGATCTTGGTCTCAGAGGAGTTTTTGTGAACTCAACCCCAAATGCAAGGGAAGCAAATGCAGAAATAAATGAGTAGAACTAAGCCAAACTAAAAAGGTTCTCTGCAAACCTAATCAACTAAACACAGAAGCAAGCAAAATATAACCAGAGACACTGAAATAAAGAGCAAACTGACAGTAAACAGAGGGGGTGGGGGAGGGGCATAACAAGGGAAAGAAGTGGAAGAGTTGTCAAGAAACATGCATAAAGGACCCACGGACAAAGCCAAAATGGGTAGGATTGAGGGTGGGAGGTGGAGGTGGGTGGGGCAGGGGAAAGTGGTGGCAGGAAAATGTACTGGAACAACAAAAAAAATTTTTTTTTAAAAAAATCAACAAAACTTAAGGGCAAACAATACCTCTCATAAGGGTATACATAAGGGGCTAATATCCAAACTATACAAAGAACTCAGCTCAACAACAACAACAAACAATCCAATTAAAAAATGGGGAGAGGGCTTGACAGACACTTCTCCCAAGAGAACATACAGATGACCAACAGATGTATGAAAAAGATGTTAGGGAGATGCAAATCAAAGCCACAATGAGACACCACCTCACACCTGTTAGAATGCCTACTATAAACAAGACAACAAATAACACGTGTTGGAGAGGGTGTGGAGAAAAGGGAAGCTTCATACACTTATGACAGGAATGTAAATTGGTGCCACCACTATGGAAAACATATGGAAGTCCCTCAGAAAATTAAGAATAGAGCTACCCTATGAGCCAGCAACCCCTCTTCTGAGTATCAACCCAAAACATTTGAAAACATTTATTCATAAAGATCTATGTACCCCTATGTTCATTGCAGCATTATTCACAATAGTCAAGACATGGAAACAACCAAGTACCCTTTGGCCAATGACTGGATAAAGACGATGTGGTATATATATAAATAAAAATAATTTATATTTCATCATTTCTTAAGTAAAAACTTACAAAATGTTGTCAAAAATCAGACCTATAAGACTTACTTTAAATATGTGTAAGAAAAAAAGTTTTGATACGTGAATGTTTTTGCAAACACACACAGAAGGGACATGAACAACACCTAAAGCAGCATATTCTACAGTGAGTCCAGTTTCCTTGTAGCATTGTTTGTGCTAATCATTTACCTACTGCTCACTTCCAAAGGAAAATTCCTTCTAATATGTCCACGTTTTCGATAATAGTACACCTAACAGAAGAAAGTATTGGTCTGAAATGAAAAAGCACCCAATTCATGTCCATATTAAAAGCTGAACTTTAAACATATTATTGAACTACCCAGGCTCTCAGTTTCTTTTGTTTAATTGAGGAGTTTGTAGTTCACACCATTATTATTACAACCTAGGACGTTTCAACTTTGGCATTGGTAGGGTCTAAGTTATTTAGCAAATAGGCATTAGTAAATGCCATTGTTTTACACTACTATAGAGAAATTTCTACACATGGAAGACAGACTTAAAATTGGATTTTGTTTTTTTAAAAAAGCACATATTAAAGAGAAGGTCTTTCCTGTCTTTCCACAATGAGAGGCGATTGCCAGAAATAAGGAGTCTTAGAATATGCAGCCGCTCATTTTGCAGCAATGTTGCTTTTAGTCTCTCTGAGAGATGGATTTGATTAAAGGTATCAGCAGCTTCTCATGAAAGAACACATAAATTAAGTCAACAGTAATTCATGCTTATGTTCAAAGTACTAGAACGAAAATTGTGTCTAATTTTGTGACAATTTTTTCTAGGGCCCACCGATCTCAGCATGAAGAGGCAGTTGGCGGCTAGCTCAGGAACCTCCAGCAGTTCAAGCTCCAGGCCCCAGCTGAGTCCAACTGAAATCAATGCCGTGAGGCAGCTTGTGGCAGGATATCGAGAATCAGCTGCCTTTTTATTGCGTTCTGCAGATGAACTGGAAAATCTTATATTACAACAGAACTGACTCAGACGACGATCCTATTCACTGAGGTCTAAATTTGCAGTTTCCACTAATGACATTTTGATTTCCCAGCAGAGATGCTTCTGGTCTTACTGCGCAGTCTTAAGAGAAATATTCCATTATGCCACATTGTCCTTGATCCATAAAGTGATGTGTTAAGGTGTTTCAAAGGAACTCTGACCTCTGAAGTACTTGAGATACTTTGTGTCCAGCCTACTGCTTTTTGTTTTAGTGTCAGCATAACTATCTGGGGCATGAAAGGCTGTATATTCCTAATTCAAGGATAAAACTGAAGAAGCTTGTGGTATAAAGAATTGTTCAAGATCCAACTGAAATATTAGTGGAATTTGCTACTGACTTATTGGACTGAAAGCTGCAGTATCTGGCAAAAAAAAAAAAAAAAAAAAAAAAGCCAAAATTTCTTCTTGCTACAGGATATAACAATGAAAAGGATCTTGTATTTTAAAATATATATATATGTAATTTTTATAAAAAGAAAACTTGTTTTTCATTCAAAATTGTCATTTTTACTTTGGTAACTTTTTCATAGGTCCTAAAAGAAAACTGTTTTGAGAAACTACTGTAAGTACCTTTTCCACATCCCTCTGCCTTCTCCTCTTTCCAAATTCTTTCTACAAAATAACACTTGATGCTGGAAAAAAAAAAAAAATCCTTGCCTACGTTCTTTAAATCATCATATCAGGAATGACTTCCAAGAGAAGCCCGCATTTCTGCACTCACTCTGATCTCAAGCACCGCACCGACACTGCAGCTTTACCATAGGTTTTCATCACTGAATGTTTCCCTATTAAAAAAAGACATGTCATTAGGGGAAAAATATCACACCTTGGTTTCTCACAGCGCACCCCAGATTGCCGCTGCTATCTTACAGGCATCCCTCGAGCAGCACTTGGATGTAGATGACTGAATGTTAAGAGGTTGCAAGTGACAATCTGAAAATTTGCACTCCTGTGTATAGTTTAATTTTCATTTCTCTATTTCAGAAATAGTTTCCAAAAAGACCATCCCCTCTCCTGATATGATTTGTATGATTTACAGTTCTAGGGAAAAATGATGTAAAGAACTCACGGTGGCTGCAGCTGCAACTTACAATGAACTTGCCCCTCCTATCCCCCACACTTTGCCCTTCTTTCTGATTTTATAGTGTTGGATACACATGAATGGTGTTTTCTTTGGCATTGAGGCAAGCCTATTTTTAAGATACTTAGGGAGAAATACACCAGTTTATGCTTCTTGTACAATTTTTTTCTGTTGTTTAGCTTTGGTTGGATTACAAATTCTTTGTGCATTCCTGAATTTGCCTTATTTCATGTAAAATTTATGTCATTCAGTTTTTGATAAGTTTAGGCATCAGTGATATTTCTTAACTACTTGTTACATATAGTTTTTCAAGTAATGACTGTGATTGTGACCAAGTAATGTGCACTTTTTCTTGTAACTGTGGACATTGCTATGCTTTTTTCTTCTAGTGTTTCTAGAATTACTGTTCCTTACAGTTACGTAAACAAAAAACAAAAAAAAATTTGTGATACTGTTGGTGAATATAATGTGAAAATCTTATTGAAATATGAGTATTTTGGAAATACATAGATGCACAAACATCTTTTAAGATGTGGATTTAGAGTTTGCCTATTTAAATGAAAATTCAAAACTTGAGGGCTGGTATAATTTTCTCTGTTTTGTTGGGTTTAATAAACATATTTCTGTGTTAAAACAATGACTGTGAAACCTTATAAATTTCCTGAATAATACTTAACTTTTAGCGTTTTACTTTTAAAGCAGGAAATATTGTGTACCTACATTTAGCACAAAATTGGTAGTCTAAACTTGTACTCAAGAATATTCTAAGGTGCCCCAGAATCTGCACATTTAGTCTAATAATTTATTTCAAGGAAGGGTAAAGTAAGTTAGCAAAACTAAGGGCATTTCATTTGATTATTTAAATCTGATTTAAGAATTTATTATCTTTTATTCTTTCTGACATGAGTAATCTAGCTCTTTAGTGATGCCAGGTGAAACTGGGGAGAAACACATACCTGCTTTCAGGGCTTGCTCAACGCGTTGGGTTTTGTGGTAATAGAATCTGAGCCTTTGACATGATTGCTATTTGACCAAGTAATGCTCAGGCTTGAGTCCAGCATGTATGTAACAAAACCTGAACAGTGATAAGGAAGCAAATGGAGCAGAGAAGGTAAGTTCCAGCAAAGTTGCTCCTGTTTTTGGTAAATTTTTGTCTTCAATTATAACTCTTACACCCATATACCAAGGACTAAAATTCCCCAATTTCTTCTGCTTTTTGTACATTTATCTAAACAAATGAAGATACTGTGACTCCCATCATTTCCCTGGGAGAACTCAGAGCCCAGAATGAAGGACCAGTTTGTTTGCCATTATGATGACTTGTTCCTGAAAACACCCTGGTCCTTTCATACACTCTGTCACAGGAGTATAAAGAGATTACCTCCCCTTTATAGAGCATTTTGGAGAAACTAGCTGCAGGTTCATATTGTCATTCAAATGAGTGACAGAAAATTATCATCAACACAGAGATCAAATACAAGTTTCTGTCACTTCTGCCAGTGAGCTGTCTGTACAACAGCTGTTTCTTGTCACATATGTATTACTTTATCACACTTAATAAGAAAACGTGCCTTGAAATAACCACAGAGAGTGCAAACACAAGCAGTTTCTGAATTTTCTTAAATTGTGTCGTTCAAATAACAAGACTAAGTTAAAAGGGCATTCGGATACAATGATAACCACTGCTTACTGAATACTTACACAAGGAAAGCGGTTTTTGTTTCCTTTACATTCACAGTAACCCCAGGGGATGGGGATAGTCACAGTCCCTTTTACGAAGGGGCTCAAGGGGTGAGGTATGTTGCCGGGAACACAGAGGCAGTGAGACTGAAGCCAGCCATTGAACCCAGGCACACCTGATGGCGGACCCCGCCTTGGTCCCTGCCGTCTGCCACCTCCCGGGTGCTAAACAATTACATTCAGCCCTGTGCCTTCATACTCAAGTTCAGCAATTTTATTTGTGTAGCTCAATAATTGTTTTTAAAAATGCACTTGACATCAAATAAAACATTTGACTAAAACAACTTGAGAGTGTCATCCTGCTTAGAGAGGATTAATTCCTTTAAATTATGTTCTCTGCAGACATAAAGAGCTACAATAAAAACTGCCACTAACAGAACTCAAATACATAGAACATAAAGAGAAGGCAGTGACTTTTAACAGTGTGGTGCCAGTAGTGAGTCTGATACAAACAGATAAAAGGGATCTTCCAGTCAAATCCATAAATGGACATTCAATCACCTGAAATCTTAGTCTTAGGCATTATACAGACGCTATGGTACTAATTGTAATTAATCCTGACACCATTAATACAAACATCATTCAAAGATTAACCTTGACATGACAAAAAAATATTTTCTAATTTCAAATGGTCCAATTACAAACTTTAGTTCATTAAAAAAGTCCAAAAATAAAGCAGGTAGACGATACTATATTACTTATCTTTTAAAGTGTGTTTGGGGTGCAGAAATTTGGTATAAAGTAAAGATTGAGTGCAAGGTAATCTACAAGTCTACTGTATTATAACTTATCCCCTTTCTTGAAACAACATTTTTTAAAGGCGATAAAACACTATTGGTAGAGTAACCTATCTTTAATTTGATGGTCAATCACATTTAACTTTTAATTTTATTTTCTGATTACAAAAGAAGCTTGGGAAACACAGAGAAAAAGAAAGAAAAGTAATCCCAGCATCCATAGAGGACCATGAATAACATTATAGTATTCCCTTCGGGGTTTTTTTTTTTAATCTAAACAATTGTATGAATTTTTTTTAATTTATTTTACATGGTGTTTCTTCATCTGCTTTTCTAACCTAATAATATACCATGAATACTTTCCAGATATTTAGGTATTCTTATTAAGTTTTATTTTTAATGGCTGTGTAGTATTACATTGTACATATGCACCTGTATTAGCTTTCACTTGTGGCTATGCCGAATTATTACAGACAACATGAATTTACCACAGTCCAATAGGCTGAAAGCCTCACTGGGGTTAAACCTGGGCGTGGGCAGAATTGTATTCCTCTCTGGAGGCTCTAATGGAGAATCCATTTCCCTGCCTACTCTAGCTTCTTGAGGCAGGCAGTCTGTCCGTCTCCTCCACATCTAAGTACCCTTATTGAATACACTGGGCCCGTTTGGACCGAAAAAGAAATCTCTTCATTTAAGGACAGCTAATTAGCAACCTTAATTCCATCTACAAACAATTCTATAATTTGACATGTAACAAAACATTAACAGGTTCTGATGATTAAAATGTGGGCATCTCTGCATGGCATTATTCTGCCTATTACAGTACTTTTATTCTGTTCTGTAACAAAAAGACATCTCTCTACCCAGGTGTATTTGCCCATTCACCTGCAGTAAAGACCCTAGGTCAGCAGCACCAACATTTTATAAATTATTGTCAGCTGCTGTACCCACCATTTTTCTTCTGTGTAAAGGATATGGTTCTTTTGGAAATTATTTTAAAGGCACTTTTCTCAAATGCCTCACATTTGAATTAAATAAAAAAACAAATATGGTAAAAGTGCAGGTAAATCTCTCAAGGGTAACAGAACAAATGACCTTTAATCATTTCCTTCACTTAGATACTTAGAAGGTGGTTCTGCCCAAGAAATTTCTGAGACATGTTTGAGAAGGCCCCAACTCATTAGGCCAGAGTGGGTGGCAGTGGGAGCCAAAGCTTAGTTAAATTCTACAAGAAATCCAACTACCTTCATAGAACTTCCAGTGGTAATTACCAGTACTGTTTTATTTACTCTGAACAATTAAAAGATATATTTAATATAAATGTTATTACACAACATGTTTTTTAAAAGCAAGGATCTGGCAATAACATCTACTGAATGTAGGAAAATCAATTCAGTTTAAAAATTCAACCTCTTCAGTTTCTTTTCTAGATACTTTATTTACATATTTAAAATCTCATTTCCCCTCATTTACTTTCCTTCTTTTTCCTTTCAGAGGCTATCTACTGACAGAGAAGATCAAAGATAATTCAAGGCCATTTTTAATGCTATGAGCGAGAAAAAAATACAATAAAAGTACAGACCACAGAGAGCAAACACTGTTACTACAGGTGTGGGATGGGCACCATTTTTCCCCCTTGACTGTTTTGATGCCTCATATTCTTTGGCTGTTGGAGAATAGGTTAGACTGGGCTGTGCATGAGAAGTGTCTCCTAACATATTCAAAGCTCTAGACTGCAATGACAGAACAAGTGGCCGG